CACACATTGGGTACCCCTCACCAACACCCCGTGGCACAGCCGGGGCTCAGACCCTGCCAGGCTCCCGGGTGGGTGCCCGGCTCCTGTCCCACCCTGCTCACACGCAGCACCCACCTGTCACCCACAGCCCGCAGCTCTCCCACACCCCCACGCAGAGCCCCCCACTCCCGCACGCAGCGCCCGCTCCCGCAGAGCACCCAACTCCCACCGGCAGCACCCACCCCTGGCACACGCACAGCACCCCCCTCTCACCCGCAGCACCCACCTTTGCACACGCAGCACCCGCTTCACACTCACCCAGGGCACCCACAGCTCCCCTCCGGCACCCACCCTCTGCACAGCCACCCCCGGAGCGCCCACCTCCCAACTCAGAGCGCCCACCCCTCGCAGAGCCGCATCCGGAACAGCCCCCGTCACCCCCAGCACCCACCCCTCACCCCCAGCACCCACCCCTCACCCCCAGCACCCCCCTCCCACCCCCAGCGCCCGCCCCCCGCGCCCCCGCAGCGCCCACCCCTCGCAGCCCCGCGCCCCCAGCCCCGCTTCACCGGGACCGGGCTCCCCGCGCTCGCTCCCGCCCCCGCCCGCGCTGCCGGTGCCGGTGCCCGGTGCTCACCTGGAGGCCGCGGCGCCGCAGGATGCTGGGCTCGTCCATCCCGGCGCCGCCGCCGCCGCCGCCGCCGCCGCCGCCGCCGCCTCCCGCTGCGCCCGCTCCGCCCGGTGCGCCCGGTCCGCCCCGCCGGTGCGCCCGGGGCGCCGCCCAGCGGCCCCGCCGCGTCACCGGAACGCGCATCAGCGCCGAGCCCGCGGCTGGCACGGAACGGCACGGCACGGCTCGGGGCTGGCATGGCAGGGGCTGGCATAGCAGGGGCTGGCATGGCACGGCTCGGGGCTGGCATAGCAGGGGCTGGCACGGAACAGCATAGCACGGCACGGGGCTGGCATAGCAGGGGCTGGCACGGAACAGCATGGGGCTGGCATAGCAGGGGCTGGCATGGCACGGCTTGGGGCTGGCATGGCACGGCTCGGGGCTAACATGGCATGGGGCTGGCATGGCACGGCTTGGGGCTGGCACAGCACGGGGCTGGTGTGGCACAGTATGAGGCTGGCACGGCATAAGGCTGGCACAGCACGGGGCTGGCACGGCACAGCATGGGGCTGACATGGCATGGGGCTGGCACGGCACAGAACAGGGCTGGCACAGCACGGGGCTGGCACAGCATGGGACCAGAGCAACACAGCATGAAGTGGCACAGCACAGCATGGGGCTGGCATGGCCTGGTCATGGCACAGCATGGGATGGCACAGCATGGGGATGGCACAGCATGCCATGAGACCCACATGGCCCAGGGCTGGAATGACACAGCACAAGATCAGACAGGAAGGCATGAGGCTGTCATGGCATGGGGCTGAAATGGCACAGCATGGGGCTGGCACAGCATGGGGCTGGCACAGCATGGCAGGGTGTGGGGCTCACAGGGCATGGTATGTTCTGGGTTTGGCACAGTCTGCCTGCCTCAGTACAACCCAGTGTGGCACAGTCTGGCACAGTATGGCACAGTATAGCACATCATGGGGTTGGCAGAGACTGCCAGCACATCCTGGCACTGCAGCACATCCTGGCACTGCAGAATCTGCCACATCATGGCACAGCACAGCACAGCATGGGACAGCCCAGGCCTGGCACAGCCTTTCTGGCTTGACACAGCCCAGCACAAGAGCTCTGGCACACAGATGATGACTTGGAGCTGGCACAGTCTGCCTGGCATGGTACAGCCCAGCACGGCACGGCCTGGGGCTGGCACAGCAGGGGTTGGGAGCTTGGTGTGGTCACAGAGCAGCACAGAGCGTGTGGCCTGGGGCAGCACAGCATGGCATGGCACAGCACAGTCCAGCATGGCATAGCTTGGCACAGCCTGACACGGTTCAGCGTGGCACAGCCCAGTCCTGCCCGGTCCTGCTGCCTGCACACACAGCAAAGCCCAGCACGGCCCAGCTTGGTGTGTCCCCACCCCGGGCAGGACAGGGGGACACACAGGGAGGGCACACGGAGGTGCCAGGGGAGCCTCTGTGCCCCCACGCCGGCCGTGCCCACGCTGTCCCAGCGCAGGGACACACAAGGAGCCGCTTTCTGCGGGAACAAGGGCACTCTGTGCCCGGCCCTCGGTGCCACCCGGCTCCGCCATCCCGGGTCACCCGCCCCGTCACAGCCCCGGTGCCACCTCCTGCCTCACTGGGGCTTTGTTCTCACAATGGGGACAAACACAACAACCCCCCCCCCCAAAAAAAAAAAAAAAACCAAAAAAACAGAAAATCCCAACCTGGAGATTCACCGAGTTACGGGCAGAGCACCATGTGGAAAATGTGGATTTTATGATTGGCTTTTTGCAGATATTAAAAAGAGCTCTCAGGGATGCTCAGGGTGGGGTTGTTGGGGTGCCTGTGAAGGAACAGGGGCTGCACTGATCATCCCTGAGGGATCCAGCTCAGGATATTCTGATTCTGTGATATTCTGCTACAAAAAGGCAAAATATCCAGGTAGTTCTTAGAGCTTGAATTAGCAGCAGTGTGAGTGTGACTCTGTGCCCAGCCTCTGGACCCACTGAAGCAGGTGTGTGAAAAATGTGTATTTTATTATTGGCTTTTTGCAAATATTAAAATGAATATTATATTTGTTGTGTTAGAAAGTGACGCTGTATTAATTCTCTTAAGTAGTGTGGTAAATATAGTTTTAGGGTATTAAAAATGTATTAAAAATGTATAAAATTTGTATAAAATGTATAACCTAATGTATAACCTATAATGTATAAAAAATGTATAAAATTTGTATAAAATGTATAACCTAATGTATAACCTATAATGTATAAAAAATGTATAAAATGTATAACCTAAAGAATTTTAGGTTATGAAAAATAGAAACGATGCTATGTAGGATACTTTTTTAAAGAAAGGACTCGCAGCAAGATAGCAGCCCCAGGACACCTAAATCTTTCAGAGGAAAAGAATTTATTGCCCTCTTATCAGAAGAAATGAACTTCTTCCCGCCTCGAAGGCACTGTTAGGATTCAGAGGAAGAAGTTGACGATGACCAGAGAGAATCCTGTGTTTGAATGGAATTTATGTGAGATGTATGAATATGCAACAGGCTGTTGTTTTTAAGGGTTAATCCTTTGTTAACGGGTGCCCAGAAAAAGGTACCCGGACGTCTGTAACTCTTTATATTTATTGTCTCATATTGTCCTAATCCAAATTGTCCAAATTGTTATTACTCCAATTGTATTCCTATTTTTTATAACCATTTTATTCCTATTAAACTTCTTAAATTTTAAAAACAAGTGATTGGCTTTTTACACAACCAGAAACACGCTGCGTGCAAGGAAAAAAAAAAAAAGGGGAAAAAAAAAAGAAGAAAAACCAAAACCAACCCAAAACCCCCAAGACTCATCTTTCGCTTACCTTGCGCTTCTGGCACATGGCGCTGCCGGGACACGCGGGGCCGGCCCCATCCCGGCAGCCGTGCCGCCGAAAAAAGGGGAATATTTTGGTCGCTTTCTCTTTTGTTTTTGGTAAAAGTGGGGCATGCACTCACGTCTAGGGCTCTGCCCCGCCTGGGAACGGCACGCTCTGGGCAGAAGAGGAAACCCCAAGCGCGGGAAGCAGCGCTGAGCACCACGCCCGAGAGGGGCAGCGAGGGGTGCGGGGGGACTGGGGAGCCGGGAAGGGCAGCGGAGCCCGGACCCGGTGTGGGGCAGCCCCGATCCGGTGCGGCACAGCCCCGATCCGGTGTGGGGCAGCCCCGATCCGGTGCGGCACAGCCCCGATCCGGTGTGGCACAGCCCCGATCCGGTGTGGGGCAGCCCCGATCCGGTGCGGCACAGCCCCGATCCGGTGCGGCACAGCCCCGATCCGGTGTGGCACAGCCCCGATCCGGTGTGGGGCAGCCCCGATCCGGTGCGGCACAGCCCCGATCCGGTGTGGGGCAGCCCCGATCCGGTGCGGCACAGCCCCGATCCGGTGTGGGGCAGCCCCGATCCGGTGCGGCACAGCCCCGATCCGGTGCGGCACAGCCCCGATCCGGTGTGGGGCAGCCCCGATCCGGTGCGGCACAGCCCCGATCCGGTGTGGGGCAGCCCCGATCCGGTGCGGCACAGCCCCGGTGGGCGATGCTGTGCTGGCTGCTGGCGGCGCTGGCGGCGCTGGCGCAGGGTAAGTGCTCCTGCGGTGCTGGGAGATGAGAGATAACTTCAGAAGACTTTCAATGAACGATTCGGGGGCGATAAGACCTGGGGAGCTCCCGGAGAGAGATGGAGATATTCACCCAAAACCACAGGGACGGAGTAAAGATGGTGAATCCCCGCTGGGGCGAGCGGCACCGGGGAGGGGGAGCACGGGGGGCTTGGGGTGACAATCGCCGGTGCCGCTGCTCTGATTCCCCATTTGAGCAACACGGCAAGCAGGCAACAGCCACACCACTGCTCCCCCACACACGGGATGGAGTTGGGATGCAGGAGCCTCCAGGCTCTGCCCTGCCCCGCAGGCGCCCTGGCAGCCCACGACGTCTCCTGCTGGAAGAAATGCAACACCTCCAAGCCTTTCCACTGCTCCTGGCCGCCCCTCGGCCCCGCCGGCAGCACCTCCTACACCCTGACCCTCTGGTGAGTGAGTTGGGCAGCGCTGCGGGCAGGGGGAGCGCACGGGATGAGCCCCGGGTGCCACCCTGTGCCCGCTCCCTCCCCAGCTTTGAGAAGCACAGGCTGTGCAGGCGGTTTGAGGCGGGCACGGCCACCAGCTACATCCCCCCGCACAGCCAAGTGTACATCTTTGATAACACCACGGCCCGGGTGGAGGCACGCTGGGGGGATCAGGTCCGCAGGACCCCCAACCACACCCTGCACCTCAACGAGGCTGGTGAGTGCCCCAGGGGACAGGGCTGGCAGCCAGCACCGACGCTGGAAACTGCCAAAACCACCCGAAACCACCTCATCTTTCCAGTCAAACTGGATCTACCCGCTGGGATGTCCTTCTCCAAGACTGGTGGCCAGCTGAGGCTGCGGGTGCCACAGCTGCAGTGTGACAGCCTGAAGCAGCCACCACAGCACGAGGCTCGCTTCTGGAAGGTGGGAGACAGCAGCTGGACACAGGTAAAAATGCTGTTTGCTGGAGCTGGCAGTGGCTGACAGCACAGTCAGGAGCACCACGGCAGCCTGGGGAGTGTGGGGGCTCAGTGATGTCACTGTCCCCCCCCAGACCCAGCTGTGTCCCATCTGTTTCCCTGGGTTATCAGCTCTGCCTTGTCCTCTGGCCATGGGATCCTGCTGCTGCCCATAACAGGATTCTCAGGGATTACACAGGCAAAACCCCAGATTATAGTAATGACGACAATGGATCAAATCCAGATGCTTGTCCCCATGAAGCTCTCACAGCTGGGGACCCTCCATCCCTCTCAGCTGCTGCCAGGAGGGTCCCAGGATTGAGGGGACCCCTGTCCCCTGAACTGTTTGGCTCTCCCAGCCCCTGGGGTGTTTGGGGATCACAGGGCAGCACTGATGTCCCAGTAAAGTACTGGTTTTACTGGGAGGGTGTCTCCATGCCTGGTTCTCTCTGCAGGTGACATGTGAGACAGTGATGCTGACAGCTGGAGAAAACTCAGGTTGGTTTATCCTGTGGGGTTAAGCATGTCCTGGGGTGCTCCCCAGCAGCCTGTGATGGCCAAAAGTTGGGGAAAGGAGGAGGGAGGAGGGAGCTGACCCTGCCACCCCTCTCTAGTGACCTGTGCCCTGGAGGTCAATGGCACCTTCGTGGTCCAGCTCCGGCACAAACTTCCCCACTGGAGCAGCTACTGGAGCGACTGGAGCAGCAACATCTCTGAGGGTGAGGAAGAGCAGAGGAGCCTGCTGTGATCCCAACAGCTGCCAAAAATGTTGGTGGCTCAGTCAGGCCTGCTCCTCCTGCAGCAATCCTGAGGAGGCCGGTGCTGAGCCATCAACTGGGCAAACTGGGGAGAGACGGGCAGCGGGTGCTGAGGCTGAGCTGGCAGGTACAGTGGCGTCTCTGGGGGCTCTCCTGGGTGTCCCCCACCATTTCACCCCCCGAGTCACCCCCTTTTCCTCCCCAGCCACTCCTCATGGAGCAGAAGGATGTCACCTACAAGCTGGACATCACCATGGTGGCGTGTGGCTGTGCAGAGTCAGATGAGGAGCACTCGGTGGCGCTGGGCGGGGAGGTGACAGAGCACAACCTCACCCTCTCCGGGGCGGAGTACGAGATCCTGCTGACCGCCGAAAATGCCGCGGGGCGTGGACCAGCCCAGCACCTCCGTGTGCCGGCAGAGCAGCGCGCAGGTACCGCCCCTCCAGAGATGCTCGGCTCCCCCGGCAGCCCTCAGGGCGTTGTTTTTATCCAGCTACCCCGAATATCCCCCGTTTCATCCCAGATTGTTGTATTGCACCAAATAACGTGGCTCTCATCACCAGATCTCAGCTTCAAGGAGATCAGCGTGGACGGCAGCACCGTGACTGCGCTCTGGGAAGCACCGTGGCCAGGAGAGGCTTTCTGCTTCGAGCAGCAGACACTGGCAGAGCCCCCGAAACAGGGAGTCTGCGTCCAGCAGGAATTCCCTGCCAACAGCACCCACCCGCAGAGAGGCAAGGGAGCGCCCCAAGACCCCGCTGTCCCCCCCCAGCCGGGGTCAGAGGGTCTAAGCAGCATCCCCGGTCCCTCCAGGAGTGCTGGGAGCGCGGGGCTGTCACCGCCTCGCCGTGCACGGCTGGGACATGGAGCGGGGCTGGGCCACCTTCGCCCTGTGGCACCGCTACACCGGCAACGGTGAGTGGAGAACGGGGCATCCCAGCACGGAGTGTCCTGGCATGGAGCATCCCAGAATGGAGCTTCCAAACACGGGGCATCCGGGCACGGAGCATCCGGGCACGGAGCATCCGGGCATGGAACATCTGGGCACGGAGCACTGAGCATGGAGCATCCAAGCACGGGGCATCCAAACATGGGGCATCCAGGCATGGGGCATCCGGGCATGGAGCATCCAAATACGGGGCATCCAAACACAGGGCATCCAGGCACGGGGCATCCAAACATGGGGCATCCAAACATGGGGCATTCAAACACGGGGCATCCGGGCACAGGGCATCCCAACACGGAGCATCCGCACCTGGCTGTGCTCCAGAAGGGGCGCTCCTGAAATAATCCCGGCAATAACCCCCCCAAAAAATGTTTTTTATTGCCCACAGATTCGCTGGACGTGCCCTTCAACATCAGCACCGGGGACAGCGAGGCCGTGCTCCGCTGGGAGCCGTCCCCACGGGCCGCCTGCCCCGGAGCGCTGGCCAAGTACCTTGTCTGCCACGTGGCCGAGGGGGACAATGTGACCTGTGAGTGACACCCTGCGATCCCCTGGGGCAGGAGGAGGTGCCAGACTACCCCACATTGGGTTTTGTTTGCCCAGACACTGAAGTGGAGGCCACGGCATCAAACTACACCCTCCAAAACCTCCAGCCTGGCACAGGCTACAGGGTGGGGGTTTGGGAGGTGACAGAGGACAGCGAGAGCACCTGCAGTGCTTGGTGGCCCTTCCAGACCAGGGCGCTGGGTAATGGCTGAGACCCCGTGCTCTCCCCACTCCCCATGGGGTGCTCTCCCCACTGTATGCTTGCCATCACCCCAAAACGTCTCCTGTGCCCCTGTTGGGGCAGGAGTGCCCCCACCCAGCCATGCCTACCCTCAGGTCCCCAGGGAGCACTGTGGAGAGGCAACCTGAACTACCTGGGCATCTGGCTTGGTGTCCCCGCTGCAGCTGCCATCTACCACCTGAGCAAAAAGAGGTGACAGAGTCCCCTCGTCCCCAAAGCCACCCCCACCATCACCCACCCCCTCACCAACCACTCCCTCCCCAGGGCTCGCCGCCTCTTCTTCCCACCCCTTCCCAAGCCCGTGGGCACCAAAGCCACCCAGTTCTCGGCCGACCAGGTGAGATGGGCCAGGTGAGGTGGAAGGTGCAGGAAGGGGCAGATCCCGCAGCCTCAAATGCCCGTGCACAGCCCTGGCACGGGATGTCCCATCCCAAACCCGCCCAACCCTTAGGGCCAGCCCCGGACAGGCCTCCTGGAGCCCTCGGAGAGGTTCAGCCCAGCCGAGCTGCTGCTGACGGAGCAGAATCCGGGCGAGGAGACGACTGACACGGGCAGCCAGAGTGCGGTGCCGCCCCCCGATGAGTCACAGCCTGGCCCCGCCATGGAGAAGCCGGTGACAGTGGTGATGTCCCCGCTGGGCTGCGGGGAGGAGCTGCCCTTCGCCTACCGCAGGCAGGAGATGCTGAGCCCGGTGGGATCTCCCCCCTCCGGCAGCACCGGCTGCACCGAGCACCCACCCGGAGAGGAGGAAGAGGAGGAGGAAGAGGAGGGAAGGCAAGAGCTGCATCAGCCGCTGATCCCCATTGCCCTGCTCATCTCCGACAAGCCCATCATCATCAGGTGTTGAAGATTGCAAGGCAAGATGTTTTCTATTACCATCTGTATGGCAGATTACCTTTGTCAAGTGGGCAGTTTGCCTTATCTCTCTCTTTGAGTGACCACAATCACTCCTCCCTCGGGAGGGGACATCTGCTGATAACAACCATTGAATGTCCCTGCATGGCTGATAAGAACTACAGCATCCCATTGGGAGATGTGAGCCCAGAGGGAGGAGCCAAGCATTCCTACCCGGATATAATCCAGAGGTTTGAGACACCAGCACGGCTTCTCCACAGGACTCCCCAGAGGAACAGCAGCTGCCTCTTCCACTGGATCTTCAGAGGAAGAACACATCCTTCTCTACAGGACCCCCTTGCTGCAACAGAACCACCCCTAACACTTCAGGAGGACACAGGGTGTCAGGTTGTGTTCTGACTGGCAGCATTGTTCTAGTGTACTGCATTGTTTATTTTATCCTTTTTTTTTCCTATTAAAGAACTGTTATTTCCTGCTCCCATATTTTTGCCTTTTTTAAATTAAGCCCCCTTAATTTAAAATTCATAGCAGTTCGGAGGGGTGGGGAAGGTTCACATTCTCCATTTCAGGGGAAGCTCCTGCCTTCCTTAGCAGACTCCTGTCTATCCAAACCAAGACATCAGGGATGAGGAAGGATGGGATCCCCAGCCGGAGGAGGTGCCGCAGCCATCATCAGGCTGGAGCAGCGGGGACGGGCACGGGGTGATCCCTGCAATGCAGAGTGTCTGTGTGGGACACCAAGGGCCCGGGCTGGGCTGGCACCGGCACTGCCAGGGGGGTTTCTAGTTTCCAGGGCATGGAAGGAGATGCCTCTGGATGCAGCGTTGCACCAGGACAGGTTTTGGCCTCGTAATTTCCAGCCTCAACCTTTCAGTGGCGATAAAACCTGAGCAAAGGAGGCTGCAGAATCTGGCCAGGACTGAGGGTATTTCCTGGATTGGCAGGAGAGGCAGAACTTCATCCCAGCTGGCTGCTACCTCTGGAACCAGTATCCTGGTAGGGATGCAAAAAGCCTCAGCACTAAACACCAGCTACCAAAAAAAAAAAAAACCAAAAAAAAACCCCAAAAAAGCCAAAAAACCAGAAAAAAAAAAAAAACAAACAGAAAAAAATTAAATACAAACATTAAAAAATTAAAATAACTGCACCAAACAGCAGGGCTGAGATGGTTTTTCCTCGCCTGACCCCAGCAGATTACAGCAAGGATTTAGAGCCCAGGTTCAATCCACAGGGCTGGGGAGGACAAGCCAGGCAGCCAGGATGGGGGTGATCCATGGGGGCCCCCCCAGCCCCTTCCCGTGGGGCCACACCGCCGCCTGGGGCCTTATCTGGGACAGAAGAGGAGATGAAAAGCGATCTGTGGTTTTCTGTGCCTGGCGCGGCGGTGTGTACTTGCTGACAGAGCAAAAAAAAGAAATCTTAAAAACCCAAAAGCGACGTGGGTTTGGTAACACGGGGAACTCCAGGTGCAGCGCCGCGGTGTGTGAGGCACTGACACGCGGCCTCCTCGCCGCTGCTCTCGGCTCCACTCGTGTTTTGCAGAGCGTTTCACTCAAACTGCGCTGCCAGAGCGGCTCCCGCGGGCGGAAACCGCGGCGGGGCCGGGCGGAGGCAGCGCCCGGGGCAGCTCCTGCAGCCAAACCTGGCCGGGGACGGGGGCTCGGCTTTGTGACCGCTACCAGCACTCCAGGGATGCGGTGCTGCCACTCCCGTGGCTGGGGTCTCGTCCAGATGGGACCATGTAGAACTCAGTGCATCCCTCTGGGTGTCCAGAGTTGCTGAGGACCCCGCCGGGGGGTTCTGAGACCCTGGCACAGCCCAGAGCACCTGGGGATTTGATTGTGACCCCTGGAGCAAGTTGGCAGCTTTGTATGAGGACCTGAAAGTCACACAGGTTTAAATAATGTAATAATAAAATTATCACTGGGTGAAGGGGTAGATTTTAGGATTTTTAGAATGGGGGTTATGGGGTCAAGATGGAGGAACTTGGCCGTGTCCAGGTCTTCTTCTTGTTCTCCATCTTCTGCTGTGATGTTGGCACTTTGGGATTGGTTTAGAGTAGAAGTGCACTGTCTAACATGGGTGATAGGTATTGGGAATTAAGTGTAAATATGTTATACGTAGTTTGTAGTATAAAAAGACAACACCCCCTCAGGGGCGGTCAGAGTGCCTGTGGCTGCCCTGCTGAGCAGATCTCAGCTGGGCAGAAAGAAAATTTTATAGATAAGAATTAATAAACAACTTCAAGACTGAAAACTGAAGAGCTCTGACTCGTTCTTCAGACATGGGGGCTGAAACAGAGACATCCTGCACATCTGGGACAGCAATTAACAACTAAGCTCACGAGAGGACCCCAGCACTGTGCCACCATTACTGTGCCACCAGCGCTGTGCCACTGTCATCATGTCACCAGCGCCGTGCCACCAGTGCAGTACTATCAGTGCGGTGCCACCATCACTGTGCCACCAGCACCGTGCCACCAGTGCCTTGTCACCAGAGCCGTGCCACCATCACCATGCCACCAGCGCTGTGTCACCAGGGCCATGCCACCAGCACACTGGCACCGGCACCGTGCCACTAGAGCTGTGCCACCAGCACTGTGCCACAAGCGCCATGCTACCATCACCGTGCCACCAGTGCCATGCCACCAGCGCCATGCCACCACTGCAGTGCCACCATCACCGTGCCACCATCACCGTGCCACCAGGGCCATGCCACCAGTGCCCTGTCACCATCACCGTGCCACCAGGGCCGTGCCACCAGTGCTGTGTCACCGCTGCCCGGCTCAGCTGCCGGAGGAGCCACGAGGTGGCACCAGCCCCACGTCCCCAGGGCGATTCCCAACCTCTCGGCAGCGCAAATCCATCGCTCCCTCCCTGCGTGTGGCAGAGGCCCCCGCGCCTCTCCAGCCCCCAGATCCCTGGGGATGGGCTGGAGGGGGAAGCTCCGGCATCCTGCCAGGCAGAAACCCAGCACAGAGATCAGATTTAGGGATTTTGTTGGGATTTGGACGATGCCAAGCTCTAACACCACAGCTCTCTTAGAGCACACCGGGCTCATGTAGAGGAAGTATCTGGTTACAGACACGGAGGCACGCTCGGGTTTCAGCCCCAGCCCCTGTTTACAGCGGGTTTTGGGGGTCAGAGCGAAGAGGAGAAGTGCCGAGGGTCACTGGCGGCTCAGCACGCTCGGGTGGCAGCAGTAAACACACGGCCAGGCTCGGGGCCAGCCGTGCCAGTTAATCATTGCAGCCATGGAACGAGGTCACAGCAGGACAGCCAGGCCTGGCTGCTGCATCAAAAACACCCAGGGCAGGGAGGGGACACGAGACCCCCCCCATGGGGTCCCATCCATCCATGGTGCCACTCACATCCCCTCTGACCCTTTAGGGATGGCTCTGTCCCCACCAATGGCTCTGACCCCACCAATGGCTCTGTCCCCACCAATGGCTCTGACCCCACCTATGGCTCTGTCCCCACCCCTGGCTCTGTCCCCACCTATGGCTCTGTCCCCACCCGTGGCCCCGTGCATTTTTCCCCACAAGTGTCCCAAGCTGGGCAGTGCTCTGCCAGGAACACGGTGCCACGTGGAGCCATGGACGTGCCAGGGAAAGCTAATCAAGCCAGGCTTGCCAATTAGTGCTAGAAAGCAGCTCAGGACTTGCTAATTAGTTTAAATTTCACAGGACTGGTTCCCAAATGAGTGCCCAGGTGCCACACTGAGCTTGGTGACCCAAGGCCAGCTTTTGCAGGCAGGATGTGACTTTGCCAGCTCCTCTACTCAGCACAGCACCCAGACATGCCACAGGGCATTGGTTAGGCCTGGCAGGAGCCACTGCCACCCACAGCCAGAGCACAGCTCATTGCACCAACAGGGGACTCTTTCCAGGACAGCTCTGGGATAAGCAGCCAAAATCCATCCCAGCAGGGAAGACAAGGGTCAGCCCAGTGCCATTAGGATGCATCCACCCCAAAATCACTCCATGGGGTGCCCTGTTCACAGCCAGCAGTGCCACACACACCACTGGTGACAATGTCATTTACTAGCACAAGCATCCCTGCCCTAAAAGGGAAAACCCCTTTTCTCCCTGTTCTCACAGGGTCCCTGTGCTGTGTCCCCAAAAGGAAATGGCACTAGGGACACGTGCACATGGACTGACCTGGCTCCACTTGCTCCTGTGGAGTGGAAAATTCAGCACTGCATCCCAAGGAGGCAGCTGGGGAAGGAGCTGCAGGGAGGTGGGGGCAGCCTGGGGATTTGCTCTTGGCTCCCAGATTTTATAGAATCACAGGATCATTAAGGCTGGAAAAGCCCTCTGAGATCATCAGGTCCAGCTACTGATCCAGCACTAACCCATGTCCCCAAGTGCCACAGCCACACAGCTTTTCAATCCCTCCAGGGCTGGTGACTCCACCGCTGCCCAGGGCAGCCTGTGCCAGTGCTTGACAACCATTTCCATGAAGAAATTTCTCCCAATTTCTTCCCTGGTGTGACTTGAAGCCATTTCCTCTTGATTTTGGGGGATGTGATCTCAGAGATAGAACACAAAATACCCAGAGGGGTTTGCTGAGGCCCCATCAACATCAGCTCTTGGGGTGTCTGAGCCCCTGCAGGAGCAGAGGTCCATCCCTGCAGGCCCAGACTGATAATTTAACACCAGATTAAGTTGTTTTGCTCCCAGGTTGAGAAGTCTAACCTGTTTTCCAGCCTCGGGGAAACAGCTCTGTGGAGCCACAGTCTGGCTTTAACAGGGGCAGAGGAGAAGGTCACAACCCTGCAACCCCCTCCCTCATTCATCCCTCCCTTCCCCAGCCCCTTCCCTCATCCATACACCCCTCTCCCAACCCCTTCCCTGCACCCAGCACCATTTTCTGCTCCCCAGACCCCATCCTGGAGAAGAGCTGATGTCAGGGAGAAGTTTGAGCCCAGCCTGACCACCAGCCATGGCCAGGGGCAGGATTATTTGCTGGGCAAAATGCCACCACTGCCACC